TTTTCGCATGGATGAAACTTGGTGTACATATTGATATGAACATAAAAATATTAGAAAATGTCGTCTTCCACCTGAATTGTACAACAAAGTACGTCTTCCATCCACATAAACAGGCGTAAAAAAATAATAAAAAAAAATTATAGTCGCAAAGGCGAAACCAAGTGTAATGCTTATTTTTATAGTAAGAAAAATAAAAATAATAGTCTTCCACCAATAAAACACAACGAAGGTCGTCTTCCAAGCTGATAAAGGTGTTTTCGACAGCTAGAACGTAGTATCTTTACGTTTTCGAAAAATGATCATTGGTGTAAAATTTTAAAAGAACTATTACGAAGTTAATATTTATGTTATAAATTATTCATTCAATTACTATAACTGCACATTTTATCGTCAAAATCGAAATTTTAGTAAATAGATGAAATACGATAAAATTCTGTTGTAGATTTAAAAGTATGCAATACATTAATTATTTGCAATATAATTTAGAGATAAGTTCGAATGGAGTATTTATAATTTCTCTAGTTAAAGTAAGTAAATTTAAAAGCACAAAATATATGTATTTTATTGGAATTTTTATAGAGCTTATTATCAATTTTTTTTAACAAATTACCTAATAATAATAATAATAATAATACTCTCCCTAATTCACCCCCTTACGAGTGAATTTTAACCCCAAAAGCTGAGCTTGTCCGGGGAAAGGGACGGCTATTATTATTATTTGCCTAAAATGAAAACACCGGATACATATAAATGTAACAGAAAGAGAATAAAATTCAAATGTTTTTCAAATTTTAAGAGAAAAGGAACAAAATTCAAAAAGTATTAGGTACTACAATGACAGAGATAAACCTGGTTTAATTTAACACATACTCATATATCTTCTTTTAAATTTAATTTTATTAAAATACAAAAAATATACATCAAATCTCAAATCATTCTTTGGCCATATAGGATATTGTTAAAAAAAATTATTAATTAAAATTTTTTGCAAAATAACTACCTCTTTGAAGAAAAATATTAAAAATAGAACACAATGAAGATTTCATAAAATTCTTTAATACATTTCAAAATAGACTGATCTTTCAAATTTTTAAAAACCAAATATATTGTACTTTTGTAGTACAAATGAAATAGCGTAGCACTAGTTCCAGATATTATTGGCTAGAATGGCTAATGATATTGAAAATTTGATTAATAATGGTCAAACACGCTTAAAGAATAAATATGATCAAAATTCACCAGTAGTAAAATTTGATTTCCCACCCACTGCAACAAAACCCTTTGAACACATACATTTAGATATATTTTACATTTCTAGTAAATCATGTTTGACTATAATTGATTCTGTTTCGCGATAGGGTCAGGCTTATTCCCTAGATTGTATAACAGGGATATCAGTCGTAGAAAAACTCTTTTTCACATTTCACATCTCGGACTACCACAAAAAAATACTACCGACAGTGGAACAGAATTAAAAAATTTCGATTTAGAAGATTTCTCTAAACTACACCACATCCAACTATAGATCACTACTACAAAAAAATAATAATACAAATTCCACAGTGGAACGGTTTCATTCAAGTCTATTAGAACATTATAGATGTTTACAAGAAGAAAACAAACATTTCACACCAGATCGACTAATTAAAAAATCTGTATTTTGTTATAATAATCTTCAGTGACAAAGTTCACACCATTTGAAATAATTAAAGGACACATTGATAATCCAAATCCCTTTGATTTAGACGATCACTTAATAATTTCTAATTATGTACAAGATCATAAACAAATTAGTAAACAGATGTATAACAAAATTAAGCAACGTAACGAAGAAGTAAAAGAAAATTTAATAAACAAATTAAATAAAAAGAGATCTGAACTAGATAACTATTCCAATCAAAATTCATGTTTTGTCAAAACAAAATCAAGCAGTAAAAAATTACTAAAATTTAAAAAGGCAAATTTCATTGAAGATAAAGGTATTTTAATAAAAACGGATGAGAGAACTTATCATAAAAGTATTGTTAGAAGATCGAAAAATAATTTATAAAAATTGTTACAGGATACCAACGAAAATGAAATCCATTTTGATAACGACGCTGTTCCAAGTACAAGTTCTACAAGTAATTTATGTATACCAAATACATAGTACATCTTCTGATATACAGATCCCTCCGATTGAAAATTTTATGCTTCCTTTTCAGTTAGGAAACGCTAAACTTATATATTTCAAACATACATTTTTACATTATTTAGATTTAGAAGAAGTAGTTAGATAAGTTAATAATTTAGTTAATCATTTTGAATCGATAAAACATAGTATAGTTCATGTTAATGCAACTAATCCTATATCTTATCATAGCTTATCGCAAAATATGTTAACAAGAACAGAATATCTAATAATTACTCTTCAGAAAAAGATTAATAATTTAATTCCTCATGTAAGACATAAAAGAGCTCTAATAATAAATGCAATTGGAAAAATTAACAAATGGGTATTTGGGAATCTTGATTCTGATGATATTAATACTATCAAAACATTACAAGTAAATCAAAAAATATTATCAGTGAAACAAATCTTCAAATTTCGTTGTACCAAAGGCTTGTTAATCATTATAATAAATCAATCACAATGTTAAGCATAATTCAAGAAAAATTTAAAGTTGATATGTAAAAAATTCAAGCAGCTATTTATAATAGAATCGATATACTTGAAAGTTATATTAGTTGTCAGGCTATTATATCACAAATTGATTTAGATTGTCAAATGGCAATTTATTTTATAGATAATTTAGAAAATGCCACAACCTTTGCAAAATTTGCAAAAAACATAAAATATTTACATAAAATATACGAGTATGTTGATCAAATTCCGAAATTTACAAATTTATTAACGTATTATCAGTTTCTAGGAACGCAAGTATCAATTTCAGAATCTAAGTTAATGTTTGCAATACATTTTCCTATTTTTAACAGCAATACCTTTGAATTTTATCATTTATTCCTAATTATCCAAAACCAAAAAATATATACTCCTTTCCCCTATTTGGCACGAAAACATCAAGATATACAGTTTGAACGAGAAGAATGTCCATCCCTTGAAGAAATGTATTATTGTCTACAGAATTTCATTCCCAGAGATAATAGTACTCACCAACTTCTTGAAAGAAAAACTTTGACAAATTGTAATATTTTAAATGTTAATTTAGAAGAATCAGTATTCGAATAAATCGCAGTCGATGAAGTCTTAATAATCCCGTCAAAACCTAAACAAATTCTTTCAAAATGTAACAGTAACCAGTATATCTACATAGGGTCACCTGTATTAATCAAAATACCTAAATCTTGTGAAATTTGGACCAACGAAAGAAGATATATCAACAACATTCAATTGAGCAAGAAAGCCTTTCATTCTACCAAAGCTCGACATGAAGAAAATTTCAAAACTTATCTTATCAATTTTCTTATACCTATACTAAATTAGATTTTAATGATTTATATGAAATTAATCAAATTTCTAAATAATTAAGGGCAATAAAAGAAATTTAAAAAAAAATTAATTATTCAAGGACTTTTGGAACAATTTTTGCAATTTTTATTTGCATAATTATTTTAATACTAATTAAATATAGAAGACAACTTTTAAGAAGATATAGAAGAAAAAAAACGAAGAAATTGAATTAGAAAATCCCTCAGAAGATGTTTTGAAAAATAACTCCATATTTTTTAAAACTTAAGCAGGGAGGAGTTATATATTGTGAACATAATAGACTCTTTTATGTCATAATTTAATTATCTTTTTAAATAATCATTTTTAGTTTATAAATAGGAGTAAAACCTTATTCTTATTATTGTTATTTGAGGTAGCTTTAGTGTAGGCATTAGTTCAGAGTTGTCTTAAATATCTATTTAAGTGTATTTTTGCTTAATAAAATTTTTAAAAATAAAAGTTCCGTTTTGGAATTTATAACTAGCACGTGCCGTATGTGACGCGCACCTTTATCAGCTTGGAAGACGACTTTTGTTGTATTGTATCGATGGAAGACTATTATTTTTAGCTTTCTTATTATAAAAATTAGCATCACACTTAATTTCAGCTTTGCGAATATAATTTTTTTTTCATTTTTTTTTTGCTTATTTAGGTAGGTGGAAGACGTATTTTGTCGTGAAATCCAGGTGGAAGACGATATTTTCTAAATTTTATTTCTTTAAATTAACTTGTACAAAAAGTTTCATGCATGCGAAAATGATTTTTTTTTATAATTTTTTTACTGTAGTTGCAACCCTCCTGCAACCCCCTGTCGTACGGGTGCGTCGGAAGACGTTCATATTAGAGTTACATATTACTTGCATAACTCATATAAAAAAATTTAAACTTGCGAAAATGACCCGAAAATTTCTGTCGTTACCTCCCGGTCTATTAATATATAATCATTTGAGTTGGACATGGTACTTACCTATACATTTTTTACTTGTCAAAATTTGACCAAAACTATCTTGTTGTTTGAACTAACCTCGTATATTTTTTCTTAACAATTCCATATAGTTTTGTTCATTATTCTCGACTTTGTTTACATTTCCAGAAGTTTTTGAAATGAGTGCCATTAGGAATACATAATGTTTTTGGATTACTGCACATAACATTTATTTTATATTTGTCAATGCCAAAAATATTTGTTTGCCACAGATGTAGTATTATTCCAGATCGCGCTATTCTTAATAATGTCTAATGCATTTTGGACAAATTTGTCATAGAAAATAATGATTTTTGAAGTTTTCATTAGGTATTTATTTACTTGCTATTTGTAAAAGTGTAAAAATATACAAATATATTTTATTTTTATAAAAAAAATACTGCTTATAAACAGGACATTCTTCAATTTCCATTTATTTATTTAACATTTCTTCATTCTCGGAATAATTGACAATTACAGGAACCATTACTCTTATTAGCTGAAATTAAATTTGACAACGCTGTAGTGAGTGTCAAATTGATGTGGCTCGTCGCTCTAACCTTACTTTATTAAATTTTTTTTTGTTCCGTGTTAAAATAGAAAGATAAAAATATTTATTGTTAAAATCTTTTAATGACTCACTTAAGATAAGTCTTATTTACATGATATTTACTGAATGATTATTTAACCATGTCGGAGGTAAGTATTATTTTCACACTTAAATTATATACTTTATAATTGTTTAAATGCTGTTTTAGCCTAAAAGAGAAGTACCACCAGTTTTACAAAAGCTGCTCAAATACGATGCATATATTACTAACCAGTTTGTTACTTGGACTAGAACTATTTTACCTTTAAATACATTTAGAGTGCATTATAAAGCATTAGAAGTAAGTATTCCATATTCTAACATTATTTAGTTTCATATTAAAAAGTGCCATTTCATGGACATATCTGACATATTTTAATTTTTATAAACTAAAAATACATTTTGAGTGTTATAAAAGTATGGTCATAAATTTAGTTCCGCCAGGATTATTATATCTATTAATATAGTTCCCAATTAAAATTGTAATAGTTTTAAAAATGTTAATGAACATTTTTTATCTGAAATGTATTTTACAACTGTTAATTACACTTTTTAATGATTTGTGCTTTTGTAGGGCATAAATATTTATATCTTTGTTCTAGATTTCTTGTCATGGAATACCATGGTTCGCATTTTGGATTGCTTTTTCTTGGTTATTTAACAACCCCCACTTAGTACAAATGCAGGTTAATATCCTCTTTGGTAAGTTAAGAAAAAAACTTCGAGGTCAGATTAAAGACACAATTGAAAGCCAGTTGGATACTAATTGAATTGTCATTCCTTTGGAAGATATGCAATTATCCGTTAGAGTTACTTTCATTAAAATGTCATAGTTTCATGGGTAAATGTACATATAACTTAAAATTGGTAGAGTGGCATTTGTTAAGATTCAGAGAAAAATGTAATTTACAATATACACTGATTAATTAGTCACTTACAAAAACAACAAGAAATGTTGAATAGATAAAAGGATAAACCAGTAACAAAAAGTTGTTTACTTTTTTACCTAGTAAAATTATATTTTTTATCACTAGTTAAGTAGCTGATCAAAACACCACACTTTGATACTAAAATCAACAATTAAACATGCCAATTAATTTGTAGAACATGACCTATTTATAGAAGTACAAAAAATGCCAACCTTTTTTTAACCTATAATAACATTGTAATATAGGAAATGGTAAGGGAAACAAGGTCAGGTAGATGAGAAAAAAATGAGTATTAAAGGGATTAACAATGGCCACAAGAGCTTTTATAATTTTATCTTGCTATTCTTAAATTATACAGAGTAAATAAAACATTTATTGAATTTGTTTTTATGGAACGGTTATTTTTAAAAATATTCAAAAAAGGAAATGTTAAAAAATACATTAAATTTGTTATTATTGTCAACACTAATATTTGGATAGGGCTAATAAAGAAGCTTCTTATCCATGTTATAGGCCACTGGAAAAGTAAATTAGGTTATTCTAGAGTAAGGTATCCTTTAGGTCAACAGTTACTGTCAAATATAGTATAATATTAAGTAGTAAACAAGTTTAAGCCAAAAATCTTTGTTCAAATTTTAAAGTAGCTCAACAAGTAACATTTGATCTTCTATTATTGTTCAAAAAATATTTTGAAATTTGATTTATATTTTTACCATTACTTATAATAATTGTCGATATCGTAACTGGAGAATCCTTGACCCAAAACACACTACAATGTGTTTTATTTAAAAATAATTTTCCCCATTTTTATTTTTTATTCATACTTGGCAAAAAGTTTATGCAAGTTAGAACACTTTAAATTATTTTATTACCAGAAGCGTGCGGTAGGGATAGAGACTTAGCTGTCTACCAGTGGCGGCTCGTGGGCACTAGCGGCAGTGGGGCGCAAACTGGAAAGGAATCCCGCGATTCGTTTTTCCCTTAGGAAAACAAGTTCTCCGCTTAATGAAAATTAAATATATTTCAAAGCAATCAGTTGGGGCAATAACGATTTCTGAATGTCACTACAGGGAGCTAAATGTGACCACTCAAAATGCATTTAACTATGTATGTGGCTATTTAATCAAAAAATCATTACATATCCATTTTGCGTCAATTTCTCAGAAGAATGCAATTTACTTAACAATTCTAACTTGTTAACGCATTTTAAAGCATACGACTCTGAAGAAAAGGTGTTTGGCAATTTAAAATCTCCCAGCCAAAAATTTATCTTTTATATTTTCAAATTAGAAAAAATATTTATATCTCTATTTGATAGTTTGTCAACTTAGCCTGGAATTTCCAACGCATACTTTTTTGAGATGAGCAAAATAGAATTTAGTCATCCTTGCCAACAATTTGCGAAAATGTACACCATTAAATTATTTATACTCTTAAATATGCAAACAGAGATTTGAAATCCTCGAAAAAGTCAGACAAAAGAAAAATTAAAATTTTGTCCCATTTATAAATATTATTGATTTTTTTTCATCATATTTTTCTTTGTAGTTTTATTTCTTAACTATTCCAATGGTTTCGTAATAACAATAAATAAATTATTATCATGGTCCAACAAACGCGCACTTTAATCCGAAACCTACATCGCCTTTGTGAAGGAGCCGGTAAAGATGCCGCTGCGTACATTCGTATTCGTATATCGTCATTGTGATCTGGTCTAGGTAATCTGTGCCATGGGTAAAGCACGTCACGATGAGGACAGCGCCCTGCTTGTGACGTATAACCCATCGCATGTGTTCATCTTTTGCTAAGCGATATTGTCGTTGTCCTTGTTTTTCGCATCATAATGAGAGAGGAAACAACAGAGGCACACATTTACTATGCCCATCTAATTTAGGAATTCTCGGAACGTCGCTCAACGCGGGTTGCGCTGAATATTAGATAAAATAATTACAGGCATTGAGGAAAATATAAAATATGTAAGTTATTTTTCTTTTTTTTTTTTTGGTTTATTATACTAGGGCACGTGCCCAAGTGCCCTTACGGGCAAACCGCCACTGCTGTCTACATTATACTTTTTCTGATAACTAATATTTTCTAAGTAGTTTCCTCATTGTCTCATTGAGATAGTCAGTGGTTTTCAAAATGCTCAACGGTATAACCAGTGGCGGGGTTAGCTACGAATATAGGAGCATTTACCGCCCGTTTTTTTAACGATCGTGGATAATAAATAATTGATTTTTATTATTGATATAAATATATTTCATAATAATAACTTAAATTGGTACCAGAGGAACACAGTGGGCCTCTAGTAATAGCATGAAACTATCTTCTACAATAATTTAAATAAAATAATCAAAAACATTTTCCAAAGTATGAAGAAAAAATATTGGAAGGTATCGTAACAGTAGGTAAAAATCATTTAAAAATAAAACATCCTGTATCTCGATTACGGGGAATAGTGTTTTAGGTTAAATCATCTTAATTTTCTGACAAGGATCAACCAGTCACATTATGGACAATTATTAATGAAACACTGTATATACATATTTATTTATTTGAATTTTCAGGCCTTATTATAGACATAATAGCAATAGCGGTAATCAAAGCCTATGTACGAAGACGTAGGCCAACAGCAAATGTAGATGACATGATGGGACAAATGGGTCCCGATGTTTTTAGTTTTCCTTCCGGCCATGCTAGTCGCGCTATTTTCGTTGCCTACTTCTTCATTCGACTCTGGCCAGTGCACTTTATATTCCATCTTCCTCTCATCTCCTGGGCGTTAGGTGTGAGTATAAGCAGACTTTTGCTCAATAGGCATTACATCGGTGATATATTGGCTGGGTGTCTTTTGGGAGTCCTTGAAGGACTTGTTATAGAATTGCTGTGGGTTGAAGATAGCACCGCTAGATGGCTGTTTAATGTTATTTCCGATGAGAAGTTAGATGGAGGAGATTATCACGTGTAAAGAATTTTATTGTATATAGCGATGTGTGTTTTATTACTTTAAAACTGATCGGGGTGTTCTACTAAAATAAGTTTCCATTCTTGGTTTTAGAGGTTTGGTTCATATTAATAAAAGCAGATAGGTATAGCATTTTAAATACTATGCATATCACTTTCATATTGCCATATCTCTCATGAACAGGCATAGATTGCACTTATATGCTTTGACGTTCCTTATTAAACTGTCGGACCAACATGTCTTCAACGAAATAGTACAGGGCTGATAGGGGTTGGGACATCGCCTTCCATCTTAGACGTCATTTTTGTCCGAATTGACACAATTTTAGCTGTAGCTGCCTAATCCGCAAAAATCTATTCATTTCTGTCTAATACCCCAATTGGAAATGTTTTGCAATAATTATGACTGGAATTGCCAGAATTTATGCCAAGAACTTTTGGTCTAACATTTTACGAGTATGTTTTTTTTACTGTTGATTTCACTTTATAATAATAATAATATCAGAAAAGTGTTGCCAATTTAAGCAACCATGTACGGGGTCTATGTCACAACCCCTTAGATATACCAGCCCTGGGTACCTAATCTTGAATCTCAGGGACTAGAAATTTTGAGGGAAGAATGAGACAAAAATATAAATTTTTTGAGTTGCAGATAAAGAGAAAAAACCGGTTTTCTACTACAAAATTAATTTTTGTAAATCTGATATCGCAACGGTGAGATTATACACCTATGCCTTACACAAAAGTTTCAAGGTCAAAGACTTCTCACTTTAAAATCGTTTGATCTTTTTCCAGGTTTCTTATCTGAGGTAGTCTATGATGATACACACGCCAAAAAAGATAAAGTTGACTGTAGCAAATATATATATAAGAATGAGAGTAAATGTAAGTATATGGACAGTAAATTTTTTATTGAAAAGTAACTGACCGTTACTGAGTATTTATAAGTCCTTTATTTAACAATTTGCTGATACATTCAATAATAAAATATAGCGCATAATTAAAAAAATATATATAGTATGAATAAATATCTTGTAATATTAAAAGATTGTGAGAGAAGGTAGAGTTATTATAAAATATGTTTAAAATTAGCAAGTGAATGAGCACTTTTCACATGTACTGGTCGTTGATTAAATGTTTGTAACTTTTAACAAACTTAGTAGGAAACCATTGGCAAGTAAATAATACTTTTAGAACAAGGACAATGACAAAGAATACTTAATACTTCGTTCAGTAGAACACCCTAAATTCGTTTTACAGTAATTTTCCTTTTAATTATATTGTTTCTATTTTTAATAGGTACTCAATTTTGAATTTTTTTTAAACTGCAATAATACAATATTAGTTTACTATCTTGAAACAGACTATTCCTACATAGTTCTAAGCTAGGCATAGCTGCGTGAAGCTGACGCCCCAGAATTTGAAAATTTATATTTTAAATTTTAATTCAGTAAATTTGTATTTAAAAACGAAAACCACGTTATACCTATGTATCCAAAAACGCTGTCAAATATGTGTTTATTTGGTATTTCAAATATTTATGATGTAAAATAAAAGGTTATTTTATTACAAAAATAAAAATGAGAATGACAACATATACAAATAATCTGTTACCAGTTTAAGTAGAGGTGAGATTAATATTTGTCTGCCACAAAAATGTACTCAACTTCACTAAAAGGATGACACACAAAAGAAAGTATGTAGTGTCAGCAAGTCATTACACCGAACATCAACATATGTTTTTGTATCTTGACATACTACTAATTTTATGACGTGTGACAACGTGTCGCTATTGGCAGCGGAGGAAAAGTACTTTTACTACCTCTGAGAGCCGAGATAATTGCGAGATAGACGGTAAAAACTCGGAAAATACGAGTTCTATATAGAATTTTCGATTTAGAAAAAGTGATTGGGGGACCACAAGGAGTCCGTATGTTTAGACGTATATTTTCTTTCCAAAAGTGGTCAAAGCTGTTGGCGAGTCATAGTCATTCATTGCCCAAAAGCATTTAAAACCAAATGTCTCTTGGGGAGAGGGGGACAGCTTCACTTGCCTGTCAGGGAACATGTAGTTCTACAATTACCAAACTGCAAATAATGAGAAATCGTAATAATTTTCAACCTTTCAATGAGATTTTGATAGATAGTAATTATTTTGTGGGTTGGAAATCACCATTACCACAAAATAGAGGAACAACAGAAAGGAAAGCATCGGTCGACACTTTAAAGTAGAGAAGATAGAAATATCTGACCTTCATGTCACCATAGAGATGCTCTGAGAAAACTAGTGCACATGAACATAACCTAATCATTGAAACTACGCTATAAAAACTACATTTATTTTTATTCTACTTTCACATTAATAAGGCGTGGCTAGGCCTAGAATTTTGGCTGTAATCATGTTTCCTTTCTGCATTGTTCATCTATTATGTGCCAATACTATAAATTATTCGTCAATACTCGTTTCAACTTCCAAAAGTTTTAAAAATTAGTCAGGTCCTAATATTTTGTGATAATACTGATGATTAAGTTATTTTATTTATTACATATTAAAAACAGGTATTTTAAACCATATAATGTAAATAATCAATAAAATGTTAAAAATATGCTTGATTTTTTATTTGCCTTCGAAATTTTGCAGGCGAAAAATAGAAAGGGGACGGGCGAAATATATAGTCATGCGAGCTATTATCGGTCAATCAAGTCCAATCCCTTAAATCCCTCTGCCTTATTTGGGTCTTTTACGGTCTCCATTTTTCCCGTTATCAAGATATTCGATAAAATAACAACCTCCTAGGCCCTATGAGACTTCCAAGTTCCTCATCAGTCGAAGTGAACTGTCCATTGTAGAACATGCTGGACCCGTCGATCAATACTGGTGTGAACTTTGCAGACCGAACGTGGCTGTCAAAATGCCGAAGGTACCCGAATGAATAGCGGCGTCGGTCTCAGCGTAATGAAATTTAAATTAATTCTATATATATAAAAATGAATTGCTGTTCGTTAGTCTCGCTAAAACTCGAGAACGGATTTATCTTATCTTGGTCTTGAAATGTTCGTGGAGGCTATACCTTTAAAAGGTGAGAAAAATTAGAATAATTGCTGGGAAAACCATAAAAATGGGGAAATTGAGAAAAGAAGGAAAATGGTAAAATAAGGGAAAGGTGTGGAGGTGAAAGTTTGTATGGGGCTATCGATTTTTAAAATGTAGGAACTTGAAAATTGTAATCATAATCATAAATAAATAGATCTTTTTCAAGGTATTTAGATTTTTACATATTAAGGAGGGAAACGGGAGGTGAAAATTTAACTATGACTTTCGGCTTTCGATTTAATGAAAGTTAATATTTAGAATTGTACGACACGCCACTTGAAAAAATTACATGTTTGGCCATTTTAATATCATTAATTGCTTAAATATCAAAGAAAAGCATAAAATACACAAACTTGGTGGGTAAAATGTATTACTCTGTAGTGAGACATGTACAATATGTAAATACTAAGTTGTAGAACACCAAATAAAATGAAAAATATAAATATATAAAGTGAAAACGATTGATGTTTATCATTTACCTGTAAAACGTAATGTCTGCTTATTTCTTGCCTCTATAACTTTAACACTGATATGCCACACAATAAACCACTGTAATAAACCAATTATTAAATGTCGTTTAATTCAAAAATCAGAAATAAACACGAACAAAAACTTTGGTGTCATCGAAATGATTAGCACCAAAATAATGGCGGCCAGTAGATAATCGGCACAGAATACTACGTGTTACGCGTCCTCTCTTTATTAGCTAGTCTAAGGTTTACTCCTTGGGCGCGGTATGAAGTCTAAAGGCGGGTACAGATCTGAGCACGTACGCGTATGAGGCAAGCCGAGGCCCAACCGAATGCCTCGCGCGACGCATTTTGTATACAAGAATGGTGGACGCACGAGGCGCTGTTCGCCACAGATCCAGTAAATTCGCGAGCACGCAAACATATACCCAGAACATAAGTAAAATTAAAACAAAAATGAAGGATGAGGATGACGTCGCGGAGTTAAGTGAATGTTTTATTATTTTATCCGATACATTAAAGAAAAAAAGAGAAAGGAATCGATGGCCGATTTCCTGCCAAGGATATTCTTTTTTTATTGTGTTGCAATAGAACTGGCGTTGTGCTCTCTTAATATATCCCGCGGATTATTTAAATCCAGGAGAAGCAAAACGTTTTTCTGGTTCCATTCCATGCTAAAAACTCGCTATAATCTGTACGGTTCTGTATGGTACAAATTCACCGTTCAGACTGAGCACGTACTGCGCATTGCCTCCCTTTAATGCATCGCCAACAAACGGATCGGGGCGAGGCCGTACGGCGCACACGAGGCAATTTACGTTCTTCGGAAGCCCGTCCACATCTGCATGCTCATGCGTCCTCAGCTTGCCTCATATACGCGTACGTGCTCAGATCTGTACCCGCCTTAACGCTGGCATATAGAGACAAACGCACCGCTTCTCCAAACTACTAGAAAAATCGGTACGTAGCCGTTGAGTCATAGAGATGGAATTTTTGGACATTCGAGATCGTCTAGAAACTACTAGTACAGAGTTGGCTTTATATAAATAGCGCGAGTTGTCGACGGACGGAAAAGATAAATTGTATTAAATTAGAATTGTGAGTTATAATAGTGCCTAAGTATTATATAAATTATAAATGCTCTTGCTCGATGACAAAGCGCTTTTAGTTCTAAATTGATTTTGGGCAACATTTTTATAATTCATATTTATCTCTAGCAGTGCACACAGCAAGCACGAGCTAGATGTAACGGATCCGGGAATACCGATCAAGGAGAAGCGACAGCTTGGTGTTTTCAGTGAACCGTTTTGTAACGCGCATGTGCGAAAATAAGTTGTGTATCACTCAAAATGATGTTATCTGTCAAAGTCAGTCCAAGTTGTGTTTAGTATGTGAGCAATGTTAAGTGATATTTCATGGTGTTTGTTTTGTATAGTAATAAGATGAAGATTTTTTACACACTTAGGTATTCTAATACAGATATAAAATGTGCCAAAAAAGTTATTAGGAAACTAAGAATTTTATCACATGTATAAATATTAAGTATAATGATTTAATCATTTTTGACATTTTATTTTTCATATGTATCCCAGCAAACACACTTACGTACATAAGACGTACTATGTACGTACTGATGGGACGTAAAGTACGTACCATGTACGTACTTTACTGTACGAAGTACGTACATAGTACGTACATAATACGTACATTTTCCAAACGACGGTACGTACCTAGTACGTACTTAAAGTACGTACTCTGTACGTACCTCATGTACGTACTCTGTACGTACCTAATGTACATACTGTGTACGTACTTAATGTACGTACTAGGTTTGTACTTATTCCAATCGAGTACATATTTTAGACGTACTTTACATCCTTATTGGTACTTAATTATGATGTGTAATGTACGTATTAGTGCATTAAAAAGAAAAGTAAACAAGTTAATTTGTATTTATTTAATTTTTTACATTAAAAGAATAATTTAAATTGTTTTGCTATCTTTTTGAAAGTTTTAAGGCTATCATCAGCTCTTCTTAGCCATCTCACAATTTTCCTGTTCTATAAACTTCTTCTCTTTCCATTTGCTACTTTTTATAGAACCTTCTGCAAAGAAATAATATCAAATTAGAAACTTAACTTTGGTACTTTTTATAATAAACAATATAATAAAAACAATACAACAAAAAGATGTAAAGTAAGCGATAGTTTCCACAGTTCAAAATTATCATTGTCAATATACTCCTGGATCTAAACCTCTCTCATTTGTATCCACCTGTTTTGGCCTTATGCCTTTGAAAACCAATTCGTTTCTGCCACTGTTCTATAATATCGGAACACCTATATTTCTTTTTGTTAAGCTATATCGACGTCAGTTTTGAAGTCCAATGGTTGGAAGAACACAATTTCATTAGATACAAAAATAATTTTGACTGGATTGAGAGGTTTTAATGCAATGACTTTATGATAACTGGCATGCAAAAATAAAAAATTAAAACATCTTACCCACTTCAACTGCAGCCAATTATAATTTGTTGCCAGCTTATTAGTTATTAAGGCACCAGCAATACTCCTTTTGACAAAATCCAAAATTAAATTATTAGGGTCTATAAAATATCACTTCTTTTGTCTAAAATATTTATTCATTTCCTTAAACTTTTTTGTTTTGTAGCATCTTTGTAATGTTTACTATCGGATGGGATGATATATCTATAAATTATATTTATTACACATAATTTTTTAAAATTAAAATGAAACCACTCACCAGAATAAAATGACGAAACTATGTACTTATAACACGCACTAAAAAGTTTAAAGAACTGTCTTGTTCAATTATAATAAATTATACACAATTATTTATTTAATGAAACACTTAATAGTTAAATCCTTAAACATGAAAAACTAACAAAAACAATCTGTTAAAACGTGGTTGCCTGCAACACTTAAAAAAAACGAGCGAGTTTAGTTTAGAGTTTAGGTTAGGTTAAATAAATTGGATTTCGTCTTTTTTTCTTTGCATCTTTTGGCCTACGGTCAACAGAAATTTGGTAAAAGCATAGGTTTTTTAATAAAATAGGTATGCAACCAGGATTACGTACACTTAGGTACGTACTTAGTACGTACTTTTCTGTACGTACTGGTACGTACTATTGTGTACGTACTTAAAACGTACATTTTACGCCCTGTACGTACAGTACTAAAACTGTACGTACTTAAGACGTACTGTGCTGTTTGGGAGGCATTGAATTTTCTGAAATATATGTTTGTCTTCTTTTAAATAAATTTAATAAAGAATGAACTGCAGATTTTGTTTATTTTATTTTGAAATTATATTTTAAAAAAATATATAATAAATCTGCGTGTTTCAATTAGGATTTGTCAAAATGGGCGAAATCCCCTTATTATGGCTAAATTGTAAGTTACAATTATGTCAATATAAAGATGTTTTGCCCATTCATATTTATAATTATTGAATGAATCATACTGGAGTTGATTTTGGAAAGATTGGTACATACTTAAATAAGTACTATTTCTAAAAATTCGTCTATGCCCAGACAGCACACATAGTCCAATGGACGTACATTTTAGATCCATTTGAGGGTCAGGACGTCCATATCCGGGCATCCAGTGTACGTCCGTTTATGCTAATTAATTTGACAGCAGAATATCGATACCCAGAGAACATCTGTTTTTGGATTTAATTTTAAGTTTAGTAGTATTTTGACGTCCAGCGGACGTCCATCTTAGGTCATTATTTATTAAGCCTAATTCCCATCTATATACACTTCCTTTTTTTAATATAATTGGTTATTAAAAATTGACAAATTGAATCTATTGCATTTCATTCTATCACCGAAAGTTTGAAATCTTATTCCATTATAACTATATCTAGTAAACAATAAAAAATGGATGTGTCGTGAGTACGATTCCTGCTCAGGTCAAGCGATCTTTAATTGAATGTCCAGTATTCGACGTCCAAATATATTCCAGAATTGGACGTCCTCTGAATGGTCAAAAGTGTGCCATTTTTATACTTCACTGAACGTCCATTGGATGTCGGAAGTCCAGAAAAAACTCATTATATATCGAATGGACGACGTCCAATGGACATATTTGTATTGTCTGGGTAATAGCCAGGCCAGGGATTTAACTCTAAATACATAAACCTTAAATGACATCTGGCTTATCTTTGCGAGAAAACACTTGTTTCTACAGAAATGAGTAATAAACTTGAAAGTCTTTTTAATATAATATGAATCCAGAAATTCTAAAAATATGTAAGTACTTTTTAAACCTAAAAGCTTTGAAAATATATGCACATTGCAAATATTTAGTTAAACCTCTCAAACTTAATGTCTTTTTAATTGTTACCCTAAATTTTTTTTGGTACCCTTAATTTTATTTACCTTATTTTCACTTAAGGAAAAGGTGATTTAATTTAAATATGGGGCTTTTATTACATTTTTTACAATAATAATAAATTCATTTATTTGCAGCTTACACAGAATATGGAACAAAAAAATATAATTGTAAAAAAACACCTAATGTAACACTGCAAAATAGAGCTGGCATACAGTGCCAGCCCTAGACAAAAATTATTTTGTGAAACAGAGTAGCCATATGAAGTCTTCTTCTACATGTCATATCCAACCATTTAGCATCACTTAATTTGTGAATTACTCTATCAATAAATATATAAATAAACCAAATATTAAACAAATTATATAGATTAATTATAAAATAATAAACGTCTTTTACTTTTATAACAAATAAGTAATTATTATATAATGCATTATATTTTGGTGCTGAAATTTCACCATTGCTATTAACCCTAACTACTTCAATGTAATTAAATCACATAACATAATTTGCGCATGGACTATAACAATGTTTCAGATAATTTGCCAAACTATTTCGCTCAGTGTAGAAAATAAGCATGTTTTCTCAGCGTGCTAAGTTGTGTATCAGTCAAAGTCATACTGTGAAAAAGGTCCATCCGATATCAAAGGCACCGACAGCTACTGTCGCTTCTCCTTGATCGGTATTCTCGGTAACGCCTCTTTATCGTTATTCAACTGGCACAGTTAGCACTTGACATTTCAGGTTTCTAACAAATTTTTAACGAAGTTTATAGTTGCAGACCAAAAATTAAATCCATTAATTTTCCATCCTCACTAATAATAAAGATGGTAATATATTTAACAATATTAAATAAATCCTAACCTCCAAAATGACACTGGCACTGAAAAAAAGTACAGTTCCAAAAAATTCGAACTTTGAGCCAGAGGGTCTGACAGGCGAACACAAAATTCAATATGCCTTGGTCATAGATTTGGTACCGAGCAATTTCAGTCGAATGCAATAATTGATTTTAATTAGGTTCTGTCAGTCGAACAAACACCACTTAAGAAAGTCGAACTAAATGCGCATTAATGCAGTCAGTCGAATCCGTTATTAGGTTTTCCAATAAAAAACTATGTGCAATACAAATGTTTCTGGAACCTTTCACCCTTAATTTTAAAATATTTGCATTATTTTTAAAATATCTGTGCCAACCAAACCTATTTTTTTAAATACAGACAATATCGGAATTTGAATATAAACTGGCATCACTGATTATACGCTTTTGCCCGACCTTCGGTAGCCGAATTAGTTTTGAGTATGTTTTTCCTTTATCCTTTTTGAGCTTTCTTCAAAATTCGAAATTTACACATTTTCTCAAATATCTTGTAACGTGATACTTGATATTTTATCTATTTGTTATAATGTGTTTGAGCTCATTTGATTTTGAATATGGGTTAGGTTATTAAATAACTCGAATAACTTTGAAAAAGAAGTTAGGCACCACTATATTTAAAACTTACTATACTTGACTTTAGATTAATGATACAAGTATTAGAAATTAAAAAAAAACGACTTCAAAAACGTACAGATGACATCACCACATCTTAACCAAAGGATTTTCTCATGGACCCAATTATTAGATTTTGACTAAATTTATATGGGACCACCCCTGAAGTACCCCCTTTCTAACAAAATAATCATATAAATCGGACAAGATGGTAAAGCATTATCGCTAAACATACATAAAAAATGAAGAGTGTGAGTGATAAAGAATAATCGCTGAACATACATATAAAAAAAAATATCGCTACGAATTGATCCTCCTTTTTTGAAGTCGGTTAAAAATACTTTAAAAGAGCTCTGATCAGTTCCGTTTTAAACTGCCGCCTTAATAGTACTTGTAGTGTTGCCAGTTGTATATATATCGTCGGTATACAAGAGAAGGTGACCAAGTCCCAAAGTTTTACATTTCAGGAAAAAATGAACAGCCTGAAAAATGCCATAAAAATGCTTATAATTTAAAATTCCATAATGACCAAATAATTGATTTGATTTTATAATCATAAACAAATTATTAAAATACTAATTACTCAAAACAACTATCGGTGGACTTGGGCACCTCCTTCTGTATACCGACGATATGTAGGATAGAGGAGCTGCTACATAAATAAAACACGATTTGAAATAGTACACATTATTTATTTAGCTAAAAAAATAAATACATTAATAAATATTATATAAATATTGCACGAAAAAAAAAAAAAAATAAACAAAAAAAAAGGAGTTATAAAAATCCATAAAGATATAGGTCACTGCTAATTAATATACCAACAAAATAATGTTAATATAAATAAAACAAAATAATTAAAGCTGCCATATTGATCCAGTAAGTACCTTTTACCAAATTTAATAGAAAACTTGTACAATAGAAAAAACTTAGCTTCTGATATATTTGGAATGGATTAGATACTATATTTTAAACTAGTAAAGCAGTTGGAAACGTATTTTTGGTCTTCAGGTAACTATTATATATTAAGAAAAAGATTTTATGATATCTATTTTACTTAATATTATTTCTAACAATGTGTATTCAATAACGGGTAAATTTGGTTTATTTTTTGAAACAAATGATCAAAGTTAGTAATATATTCTCTCAACACTGTTGCTTTTGAATTATTTTGATGAGTTTTAAATATTGTTTAAGTCACTAAAGTTCCAAATTTATTTGATAAAATACACAAACAACAGTGTCAAATTTATCAAAGTTAATAAACTTAAAAATAGTTAAATTACTTTAGTTCAACAAAAATCAGCGATATAATTTATAATTATAGATCAATTTGGATATTTTAAAAAATGACGATAAATTAATGTAATCAATTTTTCATGAGATTAAATCCTCGAAAATGTTGCAGTCCATATATATGGCTATACAATTTTTTTTATGTAAGTACCTTGGAAGTTTTAAAAGTATCAACAAATTTAAAAGGGAGATCTGAAAACTTTTTTTTTAATGAAAACAACCAAATATAATATAGAGTACTCCTAAATGTCATGTTAATGCTAGCCTATTTTATAACTAATTTCATATGAACAAGTGATGGTCTAGACTATTCAAAAATATCAGTTAGGTTGCCATCCGGAACGCCATTAGACTTTAATTTGATCAGGTTTAAAGTATCCTTAGTATTACAAAACCTGTAAGTTTAATCAAAATCGTCAAAAGATATTGAAAAATCGATTTTTTTAAATTAAATTATAAACTTACAAAACATCAATTTAGTCATTAAATATCGCAAGAAATTACATCTTTCAACACTGACATGACATTTAGGAACATCCTGTATAATATAGAACTTTCACCATTTAATATGAAAACTCAGGTCCATCCTAACAGTTTTCCAGCTAGATTTTGAAAAACATTTTTTAGAAACATCTAGGAATCATCTATATTGACATTTTTAACATCAATTCAATTTTAATACAAATTTAGCTGCCAAAATAGTGCTAAACAAAATCGAAAGAGTTCTAAACAAATTTATGAATAAATATGAGTTGTAATTTTAATTAAAACATTAATCTCATTTTTAATCGAAAATAATAATTATAAAATCCCTGACAATTTAAAAGAGAAAAGGACAGTCCATCTTTTCGTGAGATTTGTGCATATTTTGATGAAGAATACTTCATCAATTTTACCTTAAACCCTATACAGTGCGGCACGGAAGCTATATAATACTTTTTGTTGCAATCTTTAAAATACAGGGTGACCCAATGACGAAACTTTCGCCCAGTAGCGAAATTTCCTTTTCTTTTGCTCGATTGACACTTATTTCCAAGCTCAAGCAAAAGCGATTCGATCAATTATCCACAGTAATGCACAAAACTAGTCGGTTATATAAAAAACATACAAAAAATTATTTACAGGGTATTATTATACTATTTTGATTATAATTTCGCGCTAAAAAAATACTACCCTGTACACAAAATTTAAAGGGCTGAATTAAAGATATACAGCGAGATTTTAGTATGCTGCAAATGTTTCTTTTCTTTTTCTATTTTTATTAGTTTTTTTAAGCACGTCGAGCTGTATTATCTCAGACCATTTAATTAGCAGTACTGGAAGATCAATTGAAGAATAAGTAAATTCGTAACCACAGGAGAAACATAGGTTCATTATTATACTCCAAAATAAAAAATAAAACAATCTAAGCAAATTAAACATGATGATTCACCACCAAAGAAGACAATTGCATCAGTATTTTATAATGCCAAATGGAGAATATTGCGTCAACCATTTAGATACCAACTGGATAATAAAATTGTGAACAAAGATCAGGATTTGGCAAAATCAGGATACAAATAGTAAAACAATGCAAATAAACAACCATTTTCATCCGATTGCGTAATTTTAACTTCCTTTACCACTACAAACAGGTAAAGATTGACAAAAACAAAACTAGAAACATTTTCAACATACAGCAAATCCTGCAATACTCCTATCCAACCAACTTTTGAAGTACATAAATAAATTACAAATCAACAACAAATACACGTTAAAACGGTAATTTTATTACAACAAAAAAAAATTCACCACAGTTTGTTGTGATAAAACTTCAAATCGAAATAGCCCTGTTCCGTGAGATGACTCGGAGTTTTCCTCGGAGAGGGCGTCTTGCTGTCAGCGCACAAGAATTTTTCAGTTGTACCCCTAACCTTAATTTTTCCTCTGACCGGTTCCTCAATGTCCAGATCCTCTATGCCGATGTCTATGGAATCGGCTAGAGAGTCCTTGTCCGCTTCGTCCTCGTCGACGTTTTCGTCTTCGTGTTTTTCCTTGAATAATTCTTTGGGCGCTTCGTCTTGTTGAATGACTAAGGATCGAGGTCGTTCTAGTTTTGTTGTATGGTGGTGGTGCCACGGTTCGGGTGCTTTTTGTACATCACTGGAATATTTTGTTATTTATTTTCTAAGGATAGTTTGTTTATGATTTATTGGGATGCTATTCGCCTAAGAAAAAAAATTAAAGAAAATAAATAAAAACAAATAATAAAATAAACGGAATTAGATACAAAAATAATAAAGAAAAATAAACTCATGTTAAAAAAAAGAAAAATACCCAAACAATGGTCTATTAAGTCTGTTTTGTACATTATTTTGACGACTTGCAGACAAATACTTTAATCTAGGAATGCCTATCAGATTCGTAAAATTATAATAAAGTTAAATGCATGCCTTTCCTCAGTATCTCCTCTTCTATTAAAAGAAAAGGAATTGACAAACTGACCTGTAACTGGATCGAAAGTAAGCTTGAAAATCGGAACATTCTTTCATCACTTCAGCAAGAAAGAGTGTTTATTTCAGGCCTGCCAGATCATTCTAATGGATAACCTGCTAGACAACCTCTCTCGGAAGGGGGTATATTTCCAATGCTATGGGGATGAGCTGGTTATCATAATTAGAAAAAAGTACGAACAAGCCCTAAATACGATTAACAGACAGTGTGAAAGGCAGCCGATGTCGGAAAACTGTTAAGACCTCTTAATAAATAGAAAAAAATTATACAAGCCTCGACAACCTACCTTGGCCGGGGAAACCATTCCTTTTGTGGAGAAGGCGAAATATCTGAGGATTACTCTCCCCTAGCTATACACGAACTGCTCCAAAATAAAGTTTTCAACCAGAAGCCATGAGTTGACATTATCAATAAACCTGGGCATTCTGACCACGATCTTTCAAGCAGAAATGATAGTTATAGAATCGGGAGCAAGAGAATCCTTTATTTTTCCCCGTTAGGCAGCCCTTAAAGCCCTGACTCAAACTGTGTTGCCTTAAAGCTGCCTTGGAACTGTATAAACAAACACCTTGTGAGTGTCTCGGTGATTGGAACAAAGTTACTTTGATCTAGGTTCCGGGACACAGCGGTGTGGAGGGCAATGAAAAAGCCGACGTGCTCGCTAAAAGAGGAACCGAATCTGATTTCATGGGACCAGAACCATTTCTGTGTCATTGCAAAGAGCTCTGCCTAAAGAGTTATCTCAAAATGGACAGAGGCTGAACACTCTTGAACTGTAGAGATATCCCAGGGCTAACTTATTCATGAATGCCTCTGCTCAGATCCGGAAATGGAGTAGGAATGATCTACACATTCTCATGGGATTGAGGACAGGACTCTCACGGGATTGATAACAGGACATTGTCCTCTAGGTAACCACAAACTGCAGTGTAATAGAACTTTGTAGTATTTATTATGTATGCTATATTTTGTACTAATAATCCATACACCTGGTAGTGGTGGTTGGGATGTTAAATCATATAGTTATAAAAAAATGTCTGCTGTAAAGGTCTAATATAATTTTCGAAGTGAAAATAGTCAATGATAGGAACGATGGGAAAACGGAAAGTGGCAACGTGGACCAAGAAATTCATACCAAGGATTGACCCGTAGGTCCTATGAATACTGCTGAGAGAGAGAGAGAGAGAGAGAGAGAGAGAGAGAGAGACACACTCCAGCCCACACGGGGCGCAGATAGGCAGGAATTGGAAGATGAATTGGAAGCGCTGGAGGAGGAAAATATGGTGAAAAAGATGTTGAGCTGCGAAGAAAAATATTAAGCAATACATGGTCATAAAAAATATGAAGAGAAAGGAAAATGAGGACAACAGGTACAAGAAATACATTAAAGACTGCTCAATTCCCAGAAGAATGTCTACACAACGGTACCGGGTGAAATGTAGCTTAGTACAAGAAAGAGGTTTTAATGGACACTACCCATTGCATAGACTCAGCCAGCAGCTGCCAAGCCGTTTCTTCACCTCTCAAAAAAAAAGTAGTCAAAGAAAAAAATGGATACCAAAATAATTAAAATAAGTTACAAGAAAAAAAAAATGTAAAAGGTTATTTTCACTTCATGCAACTAAGGATAAGGCTTAGCAAAATAACATTCAGTTTAAACATATTCTGGAATTATTCTTCTAGACGATTCGCCATTTGAATTACAAATATTTTTTTACAAAATTAGTAAAAAATTCTCCATTGTCTATATTCGGAAAAAAAAAACGTCAAATTCAACGAAAATAATCTAAAACATACTTTACACATTACCTGCTAGTTTTTTTTAAAAGGCAGCAGGAATCATTTGGTTGAGGAATTTTGAGAAGGGAAGGGACTGAACTTAAAGGACTTCTAAGAGTACTGTGGTCTAATGGGGATTGGACGGGTAAAAATACGAGACCTAAAACAATTGCAATTAATGAAAAACGTAGAGTATTTTCTGTCTATCCTCTTTAACTTACTGTGATACCTGCGGAGGATATCCGTATTTCAAGTCATTTTCAGTCGGTTTTCTGAAATGCCCAAAAACCTCAGTTACTTAAAATCAAATTAATTAACTATAAATAAAACCTTTTAAGTTCCATTCTTGACCCTATTCTATTTCATATATTTATATTAATAACATTTCTTTAAAATGCTATAATTCTTACTTAATATAATCAGTGCCGTCATTCTTTTTACGTATCAATTCCTTAACTTTAAATCTATCGGCGCCGCAAACTCCCGCAGAATAAGGCCGATCACCCATTTCGTTTATGAAAACTTCCTGCTGCAATTGAGCCTTCTGTTGCGCATCAAAATCTCCCATTTGTCCGCCAGCAGCGTATTGGTTACCAATTAAATTTTGCGCTTTTTCAGAAAAATTTCGTGTCGGCAAGTTCTGCGCGTTGGTCGAGTATTGCAAGTTTTGGGGGGCGATTTCCAGCTAAAATATGAGGAGCAATACAATAATAAAAATGTTGATTTCGAAATGAGACCATTGAGAAAAATTGTTGGGTAAACTAAATGGGACAGAGCAACGAATGAAGAAATCTAACTAAAGATCAGAAAAAACAAACTGGTATGGTCACTAGGGTTGAGCGATTATCAAAATAAATAATCGATCATTATTTAAAATAAACAATCGAATAATCAAAAATAATTGACATAATATGTAATCGAATAATTGATTAGAAATAATCCAATAATCAAGGGTAATATATAAAGACCTTGATAATAGCCCAGACAACACACCAAATCCCAGAGATATCCGCAGAATATCTTTTGTGGATATCCAATATATCCACAGGATATCAGAAATATTCCGTGGATCTAATATGGATATCCAAATGTCCGTCTATATCCAGGATATAGAAGATATCCTAATGGATATTCAGCAAAATATATAATGGGTATCTTCAAGAAAATACAAGAAATCAGAGATATCCACAGAACATATTTTGTGGATATTCAATATATCCAATATGGATATCCAACCAAATGTCCGTCTATATCCCAGGATATAGAAGATATTCGGATATTCAGCAAAATATTTTATGGGTATCTTTAGTAGAGGTTCATAAGTAACCAATGATTATTGAATAACGTCGAAAGAAAATAGCAGAGATAAAAAATATTTTCAACACTCAAAATATTTTCAACGCTCTGCCTTTGATTTTGCCCACTAAGGAGAAAGTCATCCTTATTAGAACTCTTCAGCAATAAATGAAAATTATCGACTCCAGTCTCTAATGGAGTGATTAGGACACACATTTTGATCGAACTCAATTACGGAGAGGCGAGCATGAGTAGATGCGATAGTGGTATGTATCGCCATCTATACTTAGTAAGCAGAATCAAATAACATCTAGTGGATATCCACGATGGTTTGCGTTCGCGCCTAGACTTTGATATATTTAGTGGATGTTCATGGGATATTGAATACACCTTAAAAAAAATTAATTTTAAATATATGAACGGTACTAGCCACAATGGCGTAATTTTTTAATAATTTGCTATATAATTACTATAATTTATGGACATTTGCATGTCTATAAATTACATTTCATGGATATAAAATAGATATCTACCATGGACTGGACATTCAGTGGATATTGGGATGTTCAGTAGATATCCAAAGGATTTGGTGTGCTGTCTGGGAGTCAGCTATTTTGTTGAATCTAAATCTCAAAAATATCGATTTGATGAGACGTAATTTTTGATAGAAAAATGCAGTGATGAAGGTCCAGGATGAAAAGGATCCACCAGATCAGAATTAAAAAGGTGAACATGTTGAAAGAAATCAATAATAACTAGCTAGAGACAGAAAAGAATGGGTTCATGAAGAAAAAGGGTCCCAATAAGAAGCCTGAAAAGGCAGGATATTAGAAATAAAGAATAACAAAATTGAAAAATCAATAACCTTAGATGCTACAGGGGTTGCATACGACGGTGTTCCGACGGCGGACATAACTCGTCGAGCCTGATCGCCGGCAGCTGCCATATTGTAAGTCTGCATAACTTGAGGTGCGTTTCGATTGAAATTCGTAACAGACAAGCCAGACGAAACCTGATTTGGTGCAAAGGTTGGCGCCGATGCGGAAGATGCGCCGAACTGCGCCATGGGTTGACTGAGATGTAAAGGAGCAGAATGGACACCTTGGACGGGTTGATAAGCAGCTTGCGAGGCCACAGCCGGCATTAACGGTGTGGTAAACTGGGGTCTAACTTGCTGCGGCACCTACAAGGGATTTATTTAGACGTATTTACATTCGGAACGCTTCTATCAGCCAAATTTTTACCAATTGTTCCATACTCTGGGGTACATTTTGAGAGTACTTGTAAGCAGCCATATTCGCGACTTGTTGCTGAGCAGCCATATTCGCGACTTGTTGCTGAGCAGCCATATTCGCAGCTTGTTGCTGAGCGGCCATATTCGCAGCTTGTTGTTGAGCAGCCATATTCGCAGCTTGTTGCTGAGCCACCATATTCGCCTGCTGCTGCGCTGCTAAGTAAGCAGCTTGTTCTTGGGCCGCCATTTCAGCTTGTTGAGACGCTTGCTGTTGAGCAGCCATCGCCGCAGCCTGTTGCTGAGCAGCTATGTTAGCAGCTTGCTGTTGAGCAGCCATGTTAGCGGCTTGTTGCTGTGCGACCATATTAGCGGCTTGTTGCTGTGCGACCATATTAGCGGCTTGTTGTTGGGAAGCCATATTAGCAGCTTGTTGCTGAGCAGCCGTATTAGCCGCTTGTTGAGCTGCTATGTTAGCAACTTGTTCTTGTGCAGCTATGTTTTCTTGAGCTGCCATATTGGCAGCTTGTTGCTGAGCGGCCGCGTCAGCTGCCTGTTGTTGCTGTTGAATTTGTTGTTGAGCTGCTTGCTGAGCGGCTGCCATTTGATCAGATTGTTGCTGTGTGGATATATTTTGAACATTTGGATCCGAAGAGGATTGTTGATATTGATAGGCGTGGCCTATTTGAGCTTGTTGCGCTGTACCGGCGTAAGCTGATTTATCGCTTTGGGTTGGAGCTGGGGGTTGGTAACTGTCATGATATGTAGTCGTTTGTTCCATAGGGTAATTCTGTTGGACATTAGAGTTATTGTATTGTTCTAAGGTCTGGTTCTGGTATGACATATTCTGGGTTGCGTTTTGTATGTTCTGGCCTTGAACAGGATATACCGATGTTGTTCCTTGTAACAGCTGACCAGTTGCCCCATAACCTTGATACATCTCTGATATTACAAATGTAACAGTATAACAGTAGGTTTATTTTGTAGTTTGAAATGCTACTTACCTTGAGGGGTCATATTATTAGGATCTTGTTGCCAATTTTGACCGGGCATCATTTGATAGTTACCCTGCATTTGAGCTTGATATTGATTGTAATTATTTTGACCGTAATACGTGTTTGGGGTACTTTGGGAGGCGTAGGTTGGATTTTCGGTACTAAAGGTAAAAAAATATGGGTTTTTAGGTGCGGAACTGTAGAGAGGGCCATTGTATTTACCTATAGGATTGTTGATAGGCTTGATAGTTCATTGCAGGCATAGACTGACTAGCATGTAACAGATGTAAAGTATATTCAAAATACGAATTAGTATTTGCATTAATTGTTAGTTAGATTAACATTCATAAATATGACATTTTTGGACAAAATTTTTATTTTTAAAAATTATTAAACCAAAACTTACCCAGTGGTTTCCTGCCTTTGTTCATTTGGTGATTGGTTGTGAATTATCTGTAATAGTTTTAAATATATGAATATAGATTTAAATTGTAAGTCTAATAAATGGAAACGATGGGGTTGAGCAGAATTGTTAAACGTCAAAGTTCAGAAATGCTTTCTTAACACTTTCCTTTTAATAACACCCCTAAAGTGATTTTGAATATAATAGCGTTTTTAAATAAATTATGCTCAACTACATCAAGCAATAAGATGGCTGAATGTATACCTGTCCCATGCTACATGGAGGTCTCGGAGCTCCGTATCGGCCCATAGGACTTGGAACCGGTTGCAAACCATTCGCAGAATTGGGATTTTGTTGAATTTTGCTACAATTAGTTGATGATCGTTGTTAAAAAAATTAGTATAGCTAAATGAGATTGTTACAAAAATGGAATAGTTATATTATAAAGAGAAAGTTTAATTAGAAAATTATATGAACCATTATAACGGTCTACAAATATAATTTAATGTGATTACTGTAATTTAATTAGATTTTATGTAGAATGTTAATTTAGATCAATTACAGTGCCGACTGGAATTAGAGTATGTTGTTTATAATAATCTAGCAATTTTTCTTCGGTAATCGTCATAGAAAATAGTTGTTAAAGTACGGCATATTTTCATTAGATTGTAAATAAACAATTTTGAAAAAAACAATTATATAAGGTGTTATGAAAAAATATACATTATTGTTTTCCTACTTTTTTGGTATATTTTTGTTATTTATGATTGGAGAAGAACATTCTTAGGATAAACAATTTTTTCTGATGTTTATTTTGTTATATACATGAAGATATTTAATGGAAAGTACGAAATTAATTTTTTTTTTGTTTTGACCGTAATCTAACTTTAGTGGAAAGTCATGTGTTAATATAATATCATCTTGGATTTTAAACTATTGTTTTACAATTTTAAGTTACCACTGATTTCGAGGTTTAGGTGGAGAGAGGTTGCTGTGGCCTCACGATGCTGCATTTATTTTTTTTTACAATCCAATTTACGAACACCGAACTGACATATGGTTTTTTTATATTGAAAAAAATGCTCGTCAAGCAAAGATTTTTTAGGGCCAACAACTTTCAAATGGTACAATTCCTGAGCATTTAAGAAATCGTGGAAAATACAAATAAAGGTAGCTAGGACATGTAGCTAAGGCTGAAAAGTAAAACCTCTAGACCATTTAAATTAAGCCTGGAGTACACAAATAACAGGGTTTACCATTATTATCATAAATTCAAAAAGTAAAAGCGTATATCGCTCACACATTATTTTTAATGATTACCAACGAAAAATTGTAGAATTTAAAAAAAATATTTTAGATTAATTAAAACCAAACCTCCATTTTGTACTAAACATTTTATTTCGGAAAATAATAGTTAAAAAAACGGTAAGCGACAATTAGGTAGTGAAAGTGAGTGTAAAATATTTTAATTATGTTTATTTCTTGTTTCCAGTAAATATTTCGGCAGTAGCATTTCTTGCACGGTTCTAGGAGAGCTTATTTAGTTTTAAAATCCTCCTCTTCGCCGTCCTACAACAATTAATCTGTTAGAAAAGATGCTCTGCCAAAATTTTTACTAGGAAACTTCTATCGCCACGAAATTAAACGAATTTAATTGTCATCGACACTAATGAAGAGTGTTATTGAGAAAGATTGTAGACGTTTCTTGCAAAATTTCAACATACCTTCGAATTCCTTCGGATTGGGTCTGCGGTTCATGGGGAGCTGGAAGAGACCTTTTTGGAAAAAAATCGTCAAAAACGACGTAATTATTCATCTGCTTCACGGGATCTTTCAGTGAGTAATGTTTGTTGAGAAAACCTAATAATTTCTCGCTTGGCCTGTCTATAGCCATTTGTACCGGTGCGATACCTTCTTTCTAAAATAGTATACACAACATATTCATAAATTTGGTTTTGAGTAAAGATTATTGTAGTCCCGAATTCGCATCATATTGCCATAATATTTTGATAGTGATATGTTTCAGTGCAATATCAAGTAAAATATTTTCTAAACTATTTTTACATTTCAATTCAATAATTTATTTTTTACAATATTCGTTTAAACTCATGTGGGAAGGATGGTAAAATTAAGAGAGGAGAGGAAGATACAAAACTTGAAACATGTACTGGAAGATCTAAAAGAACAGGGAGGAATGAAAAAGTGATTGGGAATGCAAAGAGCAGTAGTTCTATAAGATGAAACAGAGAGAACAGGTAATATATTTTCAATAACTAATTAATCTTACCTGTAACATGTGCTCAAAAAGTACCTTCCCCAAACCATTACGCTGCTTGGTTTCGTGAATGTAAAAGTCCAACAGACAGGGCGGTTGGACTTGATAATGGTTTCCATCTCTGTCGAATACGTATAAACTCTTATTACCAGTTTTTAACATTCCCGTGACGGCTCCTTTTCCACTAAAATCAACCACACCAAATAAATTAGTCTTATTTTTTTAATAAAATTTGGCAAATGAATCATTATTATAAATACAGAGTGGAAGCCACGTATGACAACTTTATTTGTGTACCATAATAATGAATTATTTATTTGCTCTAAACAAGGGGTGATGATAAAGCCTGCGTGACTAATTAGTAATTTTGGACTTTTCTTCACTCCATAGTTATATTTTTAATTGTTTTCAAATAAAATAATTTGAAAAGTTATGGTTAGATTCTTAAACAATTCCTTTCAGAACACACAAAGTGTTTCTGAAATATACAAATTAAAACTGTTAGTAAAATTTTCAAATTTAAATATCAGAAACATTCCTTTTTTCCGACTTTTGTTGTGTCTATAAACAAGTATTTTTTTAATGTATGTATTCGAGGAAAGTTCAAATATTAATTAGGTTTAATTAGTGCATATATTTTATGCTTTAACAATGTTTATTTTCATAAAAAAATACACAATATAATTCTAGATTTCTATAGAAATTACATTTGAAAATAAAGTTAGTTATCACTAAAGCACCAATAATGGTAAAGTGATAGGTGTAGGTACCTAACTATAACAACAATTATTATAAAAATGTTGGGTTTAGAAACTTACCTATTTGCATTTTTGTCAATAAGAAAATATAATTTGTGCTCAGAATTCCTAATCCTATCAGCTGTAGTTATTGCCTTAGTTAGTCCTTGAGCTGCAGCTGAGGCTGACCCCATTTGGTTCACTACCTCTCCTACCTTTGAAACTGTATCCCTATAAAACAAATTTAAAGATATATTACAAATACTTTCTCATAGAAGATTGTTCAATAATTATTCCTTGTATATGTGCTTAACTGTCATGAGTCTTCCTATTCCTCAGAACATCAAAAGTATGTAAGAAAATGAGTCTGATGATAAAGAAGAAATATCAAAAAAATATGATAAATGGAGCATCCAGTAAACAGTAAATTATTTATCACAATATATATCAGTCAAATATCATTATAGGTACAATGTAAACAAAAACTGTAAGATTTGTTTACATGCCCTTTTTATACTTGAAAAATGTTCTGTTTCATGCTTTTTGCCATGCAAAGAGATAAACAGTATTATGTTTTACAGTTATATATAAAAAAATTCTAAATAATTTATTACGCAGCAATAATAATACAAAAAAGACTTAAACACTCATTAAATAACATTAATAATAAAAAAAAACATATGATCAGACAATACTGCAAGGTCGTAACTGCATAAATGATCTATGAAATACACCGGTATTCTCGGGTTTTTGTATTAAATAGCCAATTCCTATGCATTGGCCAATAATGTAATGTTTTATTCTATTGAAATACCTATAAAAACAAATTAAACCGAATCCTGTAAAAAAATGTTTTGTACGGCCATGTGTAGGTACTTAAATTGTGATTAAAAAAAGATTAGTTAATCCTGTTTTAAACAAAGCATCCGTTGTTATTTACAAAGTGTTGCTGACCCATGTATGTGCAATTTACATGTATGCTGATTCACTGAATTAAACTTTGCATGACCAAAATTACCTATTTTTAACCTCTTATGTAGATGACTATCTACTTCGAAATAATATGCAAAACAATGCAAAATGTATTAATGATTAGGTAGTTGGTCATAGCTAGGTCAAAAATCAATAATTAGTGAATATTTTCTACATTTAATATTCACATTATCAATATCAAAAGTGATGCCAATGCCAATCAGCTGTCAAGGTTATTTATTATTTTTATTATGGAATATTAATTCATTATATTGGATTTGGATTATGAAAAGAAATATGTCTAAGTGTTCTAACATCGAAAAAGTAAATATTTGATTTGTTAGGTATAACAAAAATGATTTGATATTGGTTTCTACAAATTACCTGTGAATATTTTTACTAGAATTTTATAAAATTATCTACCTATACCTATAGTAATATTTAGAGAGCAACATAATACTTCATTGTAATCAATATGGTTTTAGAAAAAAGTGGAGCAATAAAGGAGATTGAGTAACATAGTTTGTGGGCTGGAGGATGGACATTTTGTTATCATTAACTTTGTGTGACCTGTCAAAGGCCTTTGACAGTATCTCTCACAAACTCCTTCTTGACAAATTGTTTAAATATAGAATTCGAGGAGTACCCCACAATTTGTTCAAATTTTATTTAAAGAACCGAAAACAAGCAGTTTTTGTCAATATTAGGTTTGTTCCAACAATAATCTTGGAACCATACATAAACCAGTCCACAACTTATTGTCGACGACTGATAGTTGTTGACTTGTCAAGGAATGAGACTCAATTCAGAACTTGGATATGTTGGAACACACTTTTGTGTTGTCAGACACATTCCGTCAATAACGTCAAAGTCAAAATAAATTTAATAAATGTTAAATTTTGAATTTGGGAAATAAAAAAGTATAAAACTCATTAATATGTATAAAATACTGCTTGAAATTCATAAAAATAATGATTTCTGTTGAATTCTTATTTTCATGACTATAGTACGAGATCAGGGCAATTCATTAAACCAAACTGCTACAGATTCTCTGTAGGCTATTGATTGTGTTAAGTATATGGAGATAGGGATGAAAATGCAACCCTTGCAGTTTTTAAATTATATATCGAAAATGAAATAAAATTCATGTAGTTAATAGAATTTTTTTTGTAAAGAATGCGAATTCATATCAAAATAGTTCATTTATTTATTTTTTTTTTTTATATAAAAATTATATATAAAAAAAAGAATTTAAAAAAGCAATATATCCAATTTTTTGCGTTTTCTGAGAAAAGGCAGGTATGGGCATTGCTTTATATACAAAAAATAGATTAAATTTCCTTTAAAAGGGTGGGTTAAAAATTTTTTTATATAAAAACGGACTGAGATATACCCGCTCGAACTTAAGTAGCTTTTTTTTTCGATTTTTATCTCGTTTACCTTGATACCGTTTTAGTTCTTATTTTTTACAAAAAAAAAAATATTTTTTATAAAAAAAGTATTAAGTATAAGTTAATTTGTTAATAAAAAGTCAATATTTTTACGAATATGTAAAACTGTGATCGATTTATAAATAGAGTCACAACTAATTATTCTTAAAAATTGTTTTTTTTTTTACAATCTGTATTGTCTTTTTTGCAATAAAAGTTATCATTTTATGCTAATTATTATTTTCATTAATTATATTCATTGTTTTATATCTTTTAAATAATGAAATTAAATTGAATATTGATTTCTTTGTCTATGTCTCTGGTCGCCTGTAATCTGACTCTCATACATTTTCACAATTGGCCTCTATGCATTGTTTGCAAATTATGGAACAAGTTATTCCTAACTTCCTAAGTACATCCACAGCTTCTGTAGCAACCTGTGGTACATCCACAAGCTACTTTCTTCAGCAAAATCTCCAACACAGGTGATTCATTTGTACAAAACACAATCAAACCATTTTTTTTATTTTTTCCCATCCCAGTCGACAGGGTTTAAATGATAACAGTTCTACTGCTGCATTTGGAAATATTTGTTCTTAAACTATGGTCTTTGGTGACATCGCATTTTATCCATAATTGGGCCAGAGAAAATTTTGCACTTTTTTTAGTTTGCAGAAAAGCTGAAAATTACAGTTGTTTAAGGTATTATTTAGCTTTGCCTCATAAGGAGTAGAAAAAATGGTCTGATGTGGATTATATTTCTTTTTCAGTTGCATTTTCAAGTAAAAATGTGTCCATATAAGATTTTAATTTTAAAATATTTTTATTTATACTTAAATTTCACAATTTTTTATTACAATGTTGTGACTTTCTTTATAAATCGATCACAGTTTTACACATTCATAAAAATATTGAATTTTTATTAACAAATTAACTTAAAATCAATTTTTTATTGAATAAAAATCAATTTTTATATGAAGCAATGTCTATACCTACCTTTCTTTTTACATCATTTTTTTTAATGTTTTAAATAAACTGCAACTAAAATAAACTGTATTTTTGCTCCTATTTCTAATTTCCACCCTCTAATTCAATAGCATTCTGCAGTTCTTTCATGTTTAATGACCATTTGAATGATTCATGTGATAAAAAAAAATTGTGGTTTGTAGGTACTTTAGTGATAAATCATGTTGTACAATTTGTAAACTACCTGGATGATATACAAACCAACCAATATTCATAGTCATTTTAGTAGATATGATTGTCCATCAAAATAGCCAGCCATTTGGATAGTTTGTATACTATCCAGCTAGTCTACAAACTACCCAAGTAAACACTTTAACCGTAACATACATTTTAAATAATTTATTGTTCATAGTAACAAAGCCAAAGAAAAAACTTAAACTTAAAATTTCAAAACTTCCTACATTTCTAGAGTATTCTGACAATTAAACTTCATAAATAATATATGAATTCTACTGTTATCTGTATTGAGCAGACAATTTTCCAGAAATTTCTATGTGGAAAAATCAATAATGAACAACTACTACCGAATTTTAAGCATTCATGGTGTTATCCACAAAGTTGCCAATTATTATGAGAGAGTATGGGAGAGTTTATTTACTAAGAATTGTTTATGGTCATAATTCAGAATTGACTAAACATTTGGCTTTCAAGGCTTTCAAAATTACAATAAGGAAGTGAATTTGAATTCTTAATGCTAGTAATTATCCCTTTAATATATTTTTTCTAACTGCAACAAACTGAAGTTGATTTATAGTGTGTAAAGCAGTATTCTTAGTTGTATGGGTTGGTAAATTCATGCAATGCGTGTGCATACCCCAGATAAACTTTTAGAACTCAATTTAGAAGGTGTCTCACTCTTTCTAATGCAGCAGCCAATGTGACAGCTCTGTCTGCCTAACATAAAATAGTCACAATACTTGCAATATGTAAGGGCTTAATTATATGAATGGATTAATCTAGTAGTTTTTCATCCTCGTTTAAATGAAAATTTGCTTTGCACCTGTTTCAAAATTACATGTGCAGCTCATTCGCATAGTACTTGACTAATTAATCATAAGCGGGGATGACTATTAATAAATTGGAACAGTTCATAAATTTAATCAGAGTAGGACTGATAAATCATATCAAAATAAATATTTTTATATTTTTGAGTTTCAGCATCTTCTATTCCAATTTGACATTCCTAATTGAACTCAATGTCCTGAAGATTCTTAGATTATTTTAAGAAAATAGCTTGAATTAATGGTTTCTTAATTGTTATTAAAAATAAATTCTAATGAACATACATTTTTATAATTTAGCTTCCTGGAGTCAACAAAATATTTCGGTAATGTAATACAATACCGGAAATGTTTCATGCTTAAACAGTTGAAAGCCCTTTGAAATGTTCATGATAAATGACATGGGTATTACTTAGTTTATAAATTTCCTTTTTCGCTGATAATAAAGCAGGAAAATTCAGAAATTTCATATTAATCAGTTGGTGAAGTCACATACCTATGATATTAAAGCCAATATCCAGAAGAATATGAAATAAAGAGTGGGCCTATGAAAAATTTATCAATTGTTGACTGTATTATACATATCGAAGGTAGTTCTCAGAATGAAGCACAAAACTGGGTGAAAAAATAATGAAATAACTAGAATATTGTAAAAAACAAACATCCGGAATCAGTAATCTTAGTCACTTTCTCATGTAGTGTAAAATACATTTTTAGGTTATGATGAAAAAGATAAAATAAAACGTAATGAGTGATGAGTGCAATGTAACGTTAGTTACTGTTTTTACATAATTGTGTTATTAACTTACCATAATGCCCTTCTATCTCCCGTATATCCAGGAGGAATCAAATTGGGAGTAATCTCTACTATAGGTGACTTGAACACTTCATTTACATTAAAACTAAATTCCATATTTTACTTTACTCTAAACAAAAATCAACACTTGGCTCGCTACAAATAATTAACGACACGAAATAAACACAAATTTTGATGTTTTCAATAACTCAATTTTGGATTTGATGTGGGAAAATTTTATCACTTCATTCATCCGCTGTTTGACATTCACAACTGTATTTTGTTTTTTCGATTTTCAGCGATGGCTATGTATGTATAAATCTCTTTAAAATCAGCAGCGTGACGAATTCCCGTTAGTTTCGTGTCAAGCTGTAGAAAATAATTTAAAGTTTGTGTGAGATTTCTGCTGTGCGATTGTATGTTCGTGTTCAATGAAGGTTCGAGGTTCGAGTTTTCTTTTGGCTGATGGCTGGCGAAGTGCGACTGCTCTTCGGCTGCCAGTGGCGTAGGCGGAACACCAAAAACTATTCGGCCAAACTACCCAGCAATAAAAATATTTATTACGAGTATTACGATTTTAATTTGAACAATGCACGCACATTTAAATTTATTTTCGTTTGTACCAGTCACTGGTAGAGTGTTTGAAGTGTTTCTGAGAGATTAGTAGGTCAGAGTTATTGATTTATTTCTGCATAGTGCATACTCTAACACCCGTATGCACCGTACACGTTTAATCCAGATCAAGGGTTTAATCGCGTTTAGTACCATTTTTAGATATGGTACTAAACGCGATTAAACCTTTGATCTGGATTAAACGTGTACGGTGCATACGGGCGTAAGAGTTGTATAGGTCATTTCATCGATTATAGCGTATACGTCATAACTAACATAAGGAATAAGTACACATAAAGGTTGACCATGCAGTCCCCTACAGCACAAACACATTTCAGAAATATTTCAAAAATATTGCACAACGCATAAATAACAAAAAGAGGAAATTACAAAAACCGACAACTCAAACCTATAATTATTTAGAATATAGGATTGTCTCTGGCTGGACATAGAATGAATTAAAATAAATACATATCCCATCTTGATCTTCTTACAAATCAGAAATTCTTCATTAAGTGTTGGCCTTTTACAACATAACCCGTTTAGTAACCTTTTGTGTAACATGTATACTATGTTTCAGAAACATTTTCAGTGAAATATTTGACTAAAATATTTCAGAAACTTGTGCTTAAAATGTTATATGTTTGAAACGTTAGAAATATTTCTGAAACACCTCTGAAATAATGTGTGCTGTATGGGGTGGGACGCCAGATTCACAAGTTTCATTCTGCATAAAGTTAAAACCTATTGAATTGGTCGTATTTTTTGTTTTATAATATATGACACTATTCTAGGATTGGATAATAAAGGATTTATAAGGAAGTCGCAGGTAAATGGCGGTGTGCATATATGACGGTTGAGGCACGCTACAGTTTAAGAACATAATAAAAAATAAATTGACTATAAAATTTTATGGAAACAAACTTCAACCATTTCATTTTATTAAGTTTAGTTCGTTTTTTATGTGTAATATTTTATTTCTTTGCGTTCCATGTTTTGTTCTTTTATCATTTTTTACATCTAGGGTAAAGAGGTCGAATAACGATCACCTTAAAGATATCCAAAGACAAAAGCAAAACATTTAAAAAAATTTGTTATTTTTTGTATGGATCGTAAGATACATTTATTGTTCAACATAAGAACATAAACAAATTATCTGTATTTTGATAAGATATATCAATAAAATATGAAAAACAAAACTATTACCCGATCGGTATTGTCCACCTATGGTCGGCTAATATTTCCTAGGTTCATCGCATATTGGGCATAAGTTGTTCTCTTTTATCATGGTGTCCTCATGTTGCTGGTCACGTCTAGACTTGCAGTTTAGTTGTTTTTTCAGCTTGTTCTGTAAGTCCTGCCGAGTTTTCCTTTCGAAGCAATTTTTTTGTAGTCTCATCAATCTTCTTTTTCTCTTACTTTTATTTCCCTCTTCTCTTAGATTGTGGGTTTTCTGTTAGCCGGGCTGTTGGATAAAAGTCTTCAAAGGATACGTTTTTTAATTCAACGGTCTTATCTTCATAATCGCTTTCGTTCTCGTCGAATACTTCTGTTAGCGCTGATGAAACACTAACGCTGGAGGAATTTGTTCTCCGTTGACGCCTCTTACTCTCTGAGTGAACAGATGGCTCTTTGTTACAGACTTCTAAAGGCGGTGCAACGTAACGCATATTTACGTCCGAATATCTACTAGTTACAGGTTCGCTGGCTTCTGCCTGAAACATGGAATTTGCATCTTCTAATATTTTGGCAAACCTTCTTCCCCATATACGTTCCTGTTTAATGGCAAAATATCCGTATTTTTAAATCCGTTTAAGCCTTTCTCTTTGGAAGTGATGCGATTGTAAGATTTAACAAAGAGCTCTGCGATATCAGTCACATCAATTTTGTTATAATGATGGGACTTTATGTGGAGATCGCATTCTTTGCTATATGCTGTCTTCAATGAACTGAAAAACGGGACGTCCAGAGGCTGGAGTCAATCAGATGTGTGTGGGGGCAGCGAAACAAGAACGATCTTATTTTCAAGACAGATCTTATAGGATCTCAAGGAGGAGTGAGTTGTCTAAAACAACTAACACAGGATTTTCCTTAGAGGCATTCACACATTGAGCGAAATGTTTCAACCATTCCAGGAATAAGTCTTCTGTGGGGGCACAAAGTCTCCTGCCGCACTCATACAACACATAACAGTGGTGGCCTGGCCTCTTTCTTCACTTGTAATAGCGCCCACCTATTTTCTGCCTTTCTCCGCCAAAATTCGAGGGGGTTTATGTACTAATTCCAGTCTCATCCACGTTATATATGCATCTTGCAGGAAATTTATATTTTTCAAAGACCAGTTCTAAATTGTTGAAAAATAGATTCACATCATTTTGATTTAATGCGATTACTCGATTGGGGTTACCAATGTAATGCACCAAAGTAGCTTCGGAATATCTATCCTTGATATATACATACGTTATCCAATGAGTCGAAAAAATAAGAAAAAAACTGCACAAAATCCGTTCGTTATCGTGCACACTCGACGTTACGATAAAACTGCCCGAAATGCTATTGGTGATTGCATCTACCTTAAGAGATGGCAGCACCTATTCTCTTCTTTAGAACCTCGGTTATGTTGCGTAAAAATAAGATGATCGAAATTGACCGCTGTTCGATATTCATAGATTCGATATTCGACTCCTCTCCCCTACTCTAATTGAAACGTTTATGGAATAGAAATATAAATATATAATAAAAATGAGAAAAACATCAAACTATATTAAAAGGAAATATACTAAATAGAGAGAATTGTTAAGAGAGACAGTCTTATAATATACAATGTCTTGATATGAAGGAAATTGAATTTGGGGAAAAAATATGATACCTATGTGATATTTATCGAACACATGACTTTCCTGTAAAGTTATCAAATATATTGAGTACTAGCACTTTACAAAGGAAGTCTGGGTATCTGTTTTCTTTAATAATTCTTATACCTTAATGTATAGTTTTTTCTTGTAGTTCTTGGGTTTTTAGGTGCTTGTAGATCAAATAAAAATCGTCTATGTGGTTATAGCTTTCGGCACTGGTGCCTTCTTCAGTAGTTTTTATTAAGTAATTTTTTCCCTTTTAATTAAAACATTGTTTTTTTATGAAAGTTAACATACAAATTCTTTGGTACAGAATTGGGGTGTGTCTTAAAATAAATTAAAACATTTTTTTCTTCTGTAGTCCTAGTCATGTCCGTTGTTATATTTTTATTTATTGTTGGCCCATTTAATCAAAATATGTTTAGAATATGAATTAGAGATAAAAATTATTTAAAACATTTTTTCGTATGTTCATTGCCAAGAAAAACAAATTTTGCAATTTTCCTCAAATTTCTCCATTCCTGTCCATTTTAGAGAAATTATATCACAAACAACTCTTTGATAGAATTTTCTTCTATATATTCATAAATAACAGAAATATATAGCTTAGGGTAGAAAAATTACCACCTAGATCAGGGGTCGCAACTAGCGGACCGCGGTATGGATAGACCGCGAACAATAAAAAACTGGAGCGCCAAAATTTAACCAGGCAGCCCTTTGTGGAGAACTTAGTGCCACTCTGAAAGAAGTAATGGATAGCTTGATCGACTTGATTAATTTAATGAGGTCTCGTTCTGCTCTTCAGCACAGACAGTTCAAAGAGTTTCTGAGTATTATTCGGCGCATTTGGACTTTTACTGCAACACAACAATATTCGTTGGTCAAGTAAAGGCCAAGTAATTGAACATTTTTGGAAATAAAAGAAGAAACCTCCTTCTTAGACAACTTGAATACACAAGAAGCACAGAAGTATTTGGAGTTCCTAGCAAACGAACGCAATATGCTAGCTGTGGCTTTCCTGAAAGATATTCTGAAACATTTAAATGCTCTCAAAATGGGAAATTAATTTGTAATCTGATACAAAGTGTATCTTCTTTCCGTAACAAGCTAATTATCTTTGAAAAAGGCATTACAAATGAAGCATTTATTCACTTTCCAACATTGTAGTAATTTCAAATTTTATGTCAGATCTTAAGAAAGAATTTGCAACAAGATTCCAAGACTTCGCAGAGATAGACAAGTTGTCGCGATATAAAAATCACCTTCTGAAGTTTCTCCAACGGCAGACTGCAAAATTGTTCCGCCTTTGAAAGCCTTTACTGAAGATAATAGACTTACAGGAAGGCATTCCGCTGCAAACGTATAAAACATTTTGGAGTAAAAATGTCCCAGAAAAATATTTGCAAAAATTTAGTTAGTTACCTGGCTAGAACAGGAATGCAAATTAGAAAGGCATTTTGCAGTTTTCCCACTTCATACACAGTACAAGTAGACTCCATAGACTGGGAAGTAGTTCTCCGGCATAGCTAGATGCCCTTGGTTTTTCATCTCCAAGTGTAAGGAATCTAAGTCTTGCTAGACCTTCGCAGTAACAATACGTGTTCTGCAGTTTCCTCTTCTTTCTGACAGAATCGGCACAAGGTCTCCTATGTCAGACCGATATTATACATATGTTTGTTAAGCCTACAAAGTCCTGTTAATAGACCTACTAGTACTCTAGTATTTTTCCTATTAAGGCTTAGTAGATGCTTGGTGAGTTTAGGCGATGGTCCTTTGTAAGAACTTTTTGGCCTGTATCTGTTCTGGTGAAATTTTCTACCACTCCTGACATTTTTTAAACATCCTCTGCTTTGGGCATGTTCTGATAGTTGTCTTTGTGACACCACAGAAAGGTTCTAGGCCAATAAGAGCCTTTGAGG